AAGTATTTGCCACCTTCCTGATTTCTTACTTTTCATTGCATATTTGTCAGGAATTTTGGCACGGTATTTGCAAAAATGTTTTTAATTCGGCTGCACGTAAGGATTTTATGGTCATGAGCACCTTAATCAATCAAATTAAGTACAGACCCCTCCCAAAAATCTTTTTACATATTTTCTGATCCAACTCTACGATAACGATTTCAAACTTAACTGAAAAGGACCTCATCCTTCCTTTTCACTACTTCATTGTGAAACATCTGCAGGGACTGTTGAATTTGTTAACAGCTTAAATTGAAAAAACTAGAAGGAAGATGTGTTTTCAACTAGTTGGTGAAAGAAAACTGTCTTCGTGACATAACGACACTGCAATAAGACAGAATTTGGGTTTACTGATGCTTTACAAAAAGAAAAAGGCTAGAATATCTGTGCATGTGAACATGCAAAGGCAATTGTTAGTCATGTACGTCAATCACCTGATGCGATGACATGTTCAACTTTAAAGCACTTCTTTAATGTCCGTGTGCCTTAAAAAAATTAAGGAAAGAGAAAATCAATCAAAAGCTGGGCAGCTATGCCACAGGGCTCAGTAAGTAAAGGAGGTGGAGTTTGTACAAAACAGCCTGAGGCACTTTCTTAATCTTCACAGTATATCATTGGTGTCTTCTTTGTGTTCTTCTTGTTGGGCGCTCATGCCTGTGAGCAGCCTGAGCAGATATTAAAATAAATCTCCCATTCAGTGTGCGGTAGCGGACGCCAGAGTGAAATCCTCTGGATGAATAACATAAGAAAGCCAGACAAAGGCTAATTAGAACCTGGCTATATTTCTGCGGTAATGGGAAATAAAAACTGCCTTGCGGCAATCCTTGCGAAAATCATCTTAGTCATTACTCTGAGAAATGACCTTGGAGAAGAGATATTGGAGCAAACTGTGGGGCAGTTGTTTTAGTGTGGGGCTGCAGTTCGAAAGTTAGCACTTATACTTTCAGAAAGATATGAAATTTGATAATTAAAACATTGGGTGAAGGACCATTTTCTTTCTAAGTGGTGCCACATGTGACAAAAGGCACTCAAAATGCAAAAGAGCTGATTTCTGCAGAGGATAATTGAAGTAAATCAGATGAGACAGGGAATCAGACGGTGATGGTGAGG